ATATGGCATCCCCCTGCCCATGGAAACCCCTTACCCATGGCATCCCCTAATATATGGCATCCCCCTGCCCATGGAAACCCTTTACCCATGGCATCCCCTAATATATGGCATCTCCCTACCCATGAAACCCTTTACCCATGGCATCCCCTAATATATGGCATCTCCCTACCCATGGAAACCCCGTATCCATGGCACTCCTTGCCCATTGCATCCCTCTTCTCATTGCATCCCCCTGCCCATGGCACCCCCTTACTCTTGGCATCCACTTATCCATGGCATTCCCCTGCCCACTGCACCCTTATTCTCATTCCATCCCCCTACCCATGGCATCCCCCTGCAATCCATGCCCCCCAAAATGCTTCCAGCTCCCCATTTACCCCCCTGTTCCTAAAACCATCACCCTCAGAGCAATCCCTGACTCACACCCTCTTAGCAGGCAGAGAAGTTCATTGCATTTTGCACGGGAGGTGTGCAGTTTTTGCACCAAAACTCACCTCCTGCAGGGCTCCAAAAGGAACCTGTGGGGCCCAGCAGCCGAATTGCTGCACCTTTCATCAGGGCCAAGCTCCAAACCCACCCCATTTGCTCTGCAGCCCCCACATCCTGCTGGGTGCTCACCCTCCCCACCCAGCATGATGAATGACTCCTTCCTCCTTGCACAAGAGCAGCCAGACACCGTCACTGAACTGCAGAGCTCTCTAAAGCAACAGTGCATGGGGGTTGCATGGCTTTGTGCCTAACCCCATCCCCCTGTGCCGAGCTGCAGAGGTGCTCTGGTTGCACTGCATCTCTTCACGCTGCATCCCAGCACCGAATCCTCCAGCTCAAGGATGCTCGGGGTGCTGCACATCCCACTGCCGTTGCTTACAGCCCCCCTGCTGCCCCCCAAAGCCTTAGCAGGAAGCCCCCTCTTGCTGCACCCTCACCTTGCCAAAGGTCTGCTGCAGCTGCAGGTGCAGCACGCCCTGTTTCACCACCGCCTCCTCCATCCTGCAGCCCAGAGCATCCATCTGTGCTGCCCCTCTGTCAACTCAACGTCCCCACTGCCCCGTCTGCACCGACACCACGTGATGTGTGGTTGGGTGCTGCTGTTTCCTCCCCATGCTCCGCTTCCTGCCTTCGTGCTGTTACCATAAAGGGCAGCCGGGTGCACAGCTGCATGCGGGGCCCTGAGAAGCTGCTGGGGTGGGAATGGGGACCTGAAAAATGGGGGGAGGGTGCTGAGGTTGGGGTGGGTGGGAGCACGTGGTTCATCTGCAGCGTGAGGCTGCTGCTCATCCTGGTGCACGGCATGGGGTGGAGGTGGGCGTGGGGGGGTTTGGAGGGGTTGGGGTGGGTCTGTAGCATTGCTGCTCACGGTGCATGGGGGAAATGCAGCCCTACGTGCATGGACAGCACGGCGTCTGTCAGCACGTGCAGGGAATGAAGCCCTCTGGGTGTGCAGGAGGAGAACGCATCCCTCGGTGCATGCAAAGCGTAGCACCTGCTGGTGCATGAAGAGCATTACGTTGCGTGCAGGGGGTGCATTGTTCAGTGCACGCAAAGCACCGCATCGGTTAGCGCACGCAGGAAGCGCGCACATCACTGCACGCGTTGCAGCTCAGCGCTCAGCGCCCGCACGGGATTCGCTGGTGCTTGCAGGGAGCGCGTTGTAGGTGCATGAAAAGCACGTGCTGCATGCAGAGGAATCCCCCGATGCGTGCAGGAAACGCGTCCGTTGGTGCACGCGGAGCACCGCAGCCCTTCAGCGCATGCAGGGAACGCAGAGATGCACCCCGAGGCGCAGCTCCGCAGCCCTTCGCCATTTCACCCTCGGGCCACGCGGGGGCAGCATCCCATGCACAGAACATCCGCGGGGAGGGAGACAACGAGGCCGGCTTACGCCCGGCAAAAACCCGCTCCGTGCTTTGCGGAGGAATTTGGGGACGGCGGGGGGGGGTGGGAGCACCGGGGGCACGGCGAGCACGGGAGCAGCGCACGGGGACGAAAAGGGTGCGCGGCCCCTTTAAGAGCGATGTCAACAAAGCGCGCCCCTCCCTCCGCGGCGCCGCCGGCGTCGTGACGTCACTCGGTCGCAGCGGGCGCCGCGCTGTTCCCGCGGGGGGCTGAGGCGGGTGGGCGTGGCTTGAGCGAGTGGGCGTGGGCTAAGCGGGTGGGCGTGGCCAAGAGGGCGGCAGTTGTCAAATGGGTGGGCGAGGTCAAAGGAGTGGGCGTGGTCAGGAGGGTGGGCGTGGTCGAGGGGCGGCAGTTGTAAAGAGAGTGGGCGTGGTCAAACGTGGTGGGCGTGGTTAACGGTGTGGGCGTGGTTAACGGTGTGGGCGGGAACGGCGCGTGCGCGGATAGGCGGGAGGGCGCGACGCGCATGCGCGGTGAGGCGGCGGCGCTGGTGGCTGAGGAAGGGGTGGGGGGGGCGGAGGCGGGCGCGTGCCGGGCCCGGCGGAGGCGGAGGGAGCGGAGCATGAATGGAGCAAAATGGCGGATCATGTGCAGGTGAGGGGGGGCCGAGGGCGGCCGGGGGGCTCGGCGAGGCTCCTCTCAGCCCTTCTGGGCCGTCGGGAGGCTCCAAGGACGGGCTCCGCGCCGGCCGCGGCCTAGCGCGGCCTGCTCTGGGCGGGCGGCGCTGAGGCTCGGTAGGCCGCGGCTGGGCCTGGGGCTGAGGGCTGCGGCGGGGCCCGGGGGTCCCGGACGGCCGGGGCGGCGCCGCGGGGCGGAGCTCCTGCAGCACGGCGCGGCTCCCGCTCGATGCCCGCCGCTGCCGGGCCCGCGTTAACCGGAGGGCGGAAGGGGAACCGGCGGCCCCGCGCGGATCCGTGAGCGCAGGGATGGCCGCCTCGCTCGGTTGCCGCGCAGCCGGTTGGTTGAAGGAAGGCCGCGTTTGGGTGCCGCGCCGTTAAAGCCGGTGGAGCTGAGCGTTGCGGGGAGCTGCCGCTGTCGTGGTTTGAAATCCTGCCTCCTCGCTCGGCTTTTCTTTGTTAAATATCGCGGTCGGCAAGTGGGAGTTATGTCCTTATGTCCCGTGCGTCTCTGGAGGTGTTCGAGGTTAGGTTGGATGCGGCCCTGGGCTGGTGTGAAATGTGGAGGTTGGTGGCCCTGCGTGTGGCTGGGGGTTGGAGATTCGTGATCCTTGAGGTCCCTTCCAACCCTTGTGAGTTAGAAGCGGCCAAACGGGGTCGCGATGGCCGCGTTCGGCTCTCCGTTGAGTTAAAGTTTAACGGCTGCAATGTGGGAGATGCTCCACTCGGGGGACTGGTTTGCAAATAGGGCTGGGGAAGCGGCAGCCCGGTGTGGTTCCTGCAGGGCAAACAGAGCTGGAGGAGTCGCTCAGCGTTACAGCTGTGTGTGCTTTGCACGCTGTTGATGGTCTGTTTCTTCTCTCTGCTCCAGGTGCAGCATTCATGGAGCCTCGTGTAGTTCCTTTCGGCACAGAGGTTCCCTTCAAAACTGACTCTGGATGTGTTGTGCCTGCAGGATGCGGTGCTTTGTGTGAATAGGTTGAGTTTGGGGTGAGAAATCTTGACTGAGAGAGTGGTGAGGTGCTGGAACAGCTGCCCAGAGAGGCTGTGGATGCCCCGTCCATCCCTGGAGGTGTTCAAGGCCAGGTTGGATGGGGCCCTGGGCAGCCTGGGCTGGTATTGAATGTGAAGTTTGGTGGCCCTGCATGTGGCAGGGGATTGGAGATTCATGATCCTTGAGTTTCCTTCCAACCCTTGGCTATTCTGTGATTGTGTGAGGGATCTTGCTGTCACCTCACAGCCCAGCCTGCTCGCCAAGATTGGGTTTGATGAACTTAATGCTCTTAATGATTCTATGGCCTGAGCGAAGCTGCACAGCTCCCACATCAAACACAGCAGTCACTGAGTTATCCTGCAGTGTGTGCTGCCAGTGTGGATAATGGGGAGAGCTGTTTAGGTGGCCACATGCTGTGGGAGTTGGCCTTGTTTTAATAGGGGCTGGTGCTGCCAATAAATGCTGGCTGCTGGGAGCTGTGCAGAGTTCCCAAGGTTTGTGAGAGCTTTGCTTTGGGTGTTGCGTGCTGGCAGGCTGGGGTTTAACTGGACTGTTGATAGCTGATAGGTGTTAAGGTTATTGGTGCCTGGTGGGCACACAGAACTATCATAGAGTTTATTTGAAGAGCAGTGAGGAGGAAGGTGAGCTTCTAGAGCCATAGTGAGGGAGATTTAGAAACTGGAGGTGATGCAGACTGGGCTGTGATGCCGTGTAGCTGCAGCTGGGTGCCGTGTTCCTGCTGAGCAGCACTGCAGGAGGAGGCTGCTCAGTGTCTGCTGCGGTGATGCTGAGGCAGCAGCAGTGCAAATCAGGTGTTGTGGTGTGGCTGAAGGGCCCTGCGTTATCCAAGTGAATTCCTGCACGCCAGTTTGCCCATCTGTCAGCAAGCTCACGTCGCCTTCTGGATGCATATTGCTGATCCCAGGCTTGGAAGCATTGCCTAAACTTGTTCACACAGCAAAGCAGGCAGGCTACCTTTAGCTCTGTGGGCAAACACAGCCCCTTATTCCTCTGTCCCACGTTGCAAACAGATTTGTTCATCTTTGCTTTCTGCTTTCCTTATGCTTGGATGTTTTCTGCGCTGTTGCCCTAAGATGGGATGTGCTTACTGAAAGTGAGCGTCCCTGTGGGAGAATGCTTGCTGCTAATTAATTCTGTGGGCTCTGAGCGTGGAGTGTTCTGTTTGTGTGGAGTTCTAACAAGTGATTGTGCCACAGAAAAGCCATTGTCACTTCTGTATGAGTTACTCTTGCCTGCTTCTGGTAACCTGGCTCTGAGTTGAGAGGAATGAGATGCAAGAAGAGACTGGAGTACTGAGCTGGTACTCCTATGAAGAACATGAAATCTGGCATCTCAAAGGAAACTGCATCTGTTTGTTTTTTTTGCCTCTGTGTTACCTGACTGTGGGCTCAGTTTGGATGTTTCTGCATGTTGGATCACTGGCAGTGCTGTGCTTTGCAGAGGGTCGGCAGCAGACAGGGGTTACTCCTTTCATCTCAAAGCCATTGCAGAGGAAACCTTGATTTGTGTTGGGATGGGCATTCTTTGGCTCTGTCCCCATGCGTGGCAGTGCTCTGCAGGGACTGGGGGCACTGAGTGTGCTCAGAAGGGACAACAGGAGGGTTTTGGAGGGTCCTCAGTTTGCTGGAGGGCTCCGTGCTCAGAAAACATCTCCCTGCCAGTGCTTCTGAGGTGTGTTTTCCTAGGGTGGGTGCTTCCATCCCCAACAGGACCTTTGTTTTTCCCTTGTTTCCGTATTTTAGAAGACGTCATTTTGGCTCAAACACAAAATCTAATTTGGCTTTAGAAACCCACAGCGTTCAGCTTGCTCTAGAGGGAACCCTGAGGCCTGCACTGCGTGCTTCCCATTTGCTCTCCCTGTAACCCTGCACCTGCTTGGTATAACAGAGGCACGGCGCAGCCCGGCTGCACGTTGCTTGCAATACTTCGTCTTAGCTCAAGGTTTTTACCTCCTGTGTGTGTGTCATTGCTCTTATTGAGGGCTTGTATTTATCTCAGAATAGCCCAAGGGAGTGCTGTGGGCCCAGGGAGGGTACAGGCTGCCTCCACTAAAAATAGAGCTGGCAGCAGTTCTGTTGCAAATTAGGCTTTTTTTTTTAACTACTCTGCTTGGATGCTCAGCACCGAGGCACCAAAGTAACAGCAACGAGTGTTGGGTTGGGGCTGGAAAGCAGAGTAACTTTGTCATTGCTGATAACACCTCCTTGCCCTCGGTGTGGACAATGCAGCTGCTTTTGAGAAGCTTGCAGGGCTCAGGTCTGCTGGAACAGAGGTGAAGTTGTATTTTTACTACTTACAGTTGTGTTTTTGCTGGTAATTTTCTGCTTCTAGGAGACATTTGCTGGTAGTAAACGCTCCGTGCTCTTCTGGTGGTGCAGCTGTGTGACTGAGTTGTAAGAATCTAACTAAATAACCACTGTAATCTGTGAGTTCGCTCTTCTCATCCAGCTTTGGTGCATCCCTTGCACAGCAGCAGTGCTGCTGCAGCTCTGCGTGCATCCTCAGCCAAATGCAACCAAACAGAACGCCAAACACACCCAGCAGAGCAGGTGTTGTGCAGCAGGCACGACATGCACGCTCCCTATGGGTTGTACAGAGCAAACAAGCAGTGCCCAGTGAGCACTGCTCACACCTGTGCTCTGACCTGCTCCTGTTTGACGTACTCACATGGACCAGGGCTGTGATTTCTGCATCATCCACACGCTTTCCTTCAGCTCCTGTTGGAAAACTCGGTGCCCTTGTAGCACTGACCATGCGGTGTTTGTGAAAGCACTGATTACAGGAGTGAGAGTCCAAGGACGTTGTACTGGAAAATATTAATTCTGCTGTTTCTCTTCTAGCACTAGATAATGTCTGTAGCTCAAACAGTGCACTGAAGGTAATCTGCAATGCTTTTCCTCAGTTTGAGCAGCACTGGAGGAGCGTTAGAACTTCAGATGGTGGAAAGCATACTGAGCTCTCAGGCTTGCTTTGGTGCAGAGGGTTTCTGCTGCCTCCGGAGCCTTCAGTGTGGCAAGGAGATGTTTGTGGAAGAGGTTCTGCTCCTTCTCGCTCCATTCAGCACTGTGTTGCTCCCATGTGTGCTTTGTGCTCTCTGTTTCCTAATTTCCTGGTTGCTGCTCATTAGGAAATGGCCAACCTTTGCCAAGTGGGAAGCCTTCAGGTGCACAGGGAACATTCAGTCCTCAAAAAGAGCGGTGAAATCGGTGCGATTTCTGAAGCAGCACATTAATGTTGCACATAAATAAGAAGGTAAAGAGAGATGGCAGTGACTCATTCTCCCTTACAAAGGTGTTGCTGCCGCTCAGCCTCCCGTTTTGTTCCCAAATGGAAGGAGCACCTGCGTGCTGCATTGGGCTGCTGTTCTCTTTGCTTGGGCCCTGCTGAGTCCTCCTGCTGGGTGAGAGCTTTCCCTGGGGCAGAACCAATCCCTCAGCTGCTCTGAGACATGGATTTGTATTGCAGCACTGGGGAGTTCTCATTGCTGCTCCTGCAGTGTGAGTGGGGATTGGGGATAGCTGTGTGCAGCTGCAGAGCTGCGCCTTCACTCTGCGTTCCTGGAGGGAGCAGAAAGGCAGAGGTTGCTCTGACACTTCAGCCATCAGCCCCTGAAGTGCAATTAGATTTGGGGCTGCTCCCTCCTGATGTGCTCTGCGTTGTGTTTGTTCCTTACCACACAGCTGAGCAAATCGCTGTCCTGCCAGAGCAAAGCCTTGGTGGCATGGAGCAGCAGTGTTTATTTGCACCCAGCTCAAATGTTGAAGGGTTTGTGCTGTGTCTCAGTGGTTTCTCCAGTCGCTGAGGGTATCAGTTCCTCATTTCTGAGCTCCGTGGGATAGAATCCATCCTTGTTTCTGGGTGCTTTGTTGTCAGTGCTAACTTACAGGGGATGTGCAGCTCCAGATCAGTGCTAACAGTGAAACAGCAGGGCTGGAGCTGAAAGAAGTCCCCTTCAGCTCGACTTGGAGACCATTCATCTCAAGGAAAGAAATGAGAGCTCTTTATTAATGGCCTGGGAGATGCCTGGAAGTGCTGCTGCAATAAATAACTTTTTGAGATAGGCACAAGTAAGTTTTCTTTCTCTTGTTAGCAGGATAAATGGAAATGGGCAATTTATAGTTGAGATTCCCTTAAAGAATGAGGGCGATGAGCCACGAGACCTGGGTTTCACAATGGTGAGCACTTAGGAGATGCATCGCCGTGCTCCTCTGTGGTTAAGAGTTGAATTGCTCCGTTAAAAAGCTTTTTTATTCCTGGTTGAAATAGCTGAAGTGACCCGAGCTGTTCTCTGAGCCTCAGTCACTTCTGTCACCACAGCCCTCTGACTCCTACCATGAGTTTGGTAAAGCACAGCGATTCCAAGCCCTCACCTCAGCATCATCATCATCTTCTTCCCAGACCAGGTAATGCCTGCAGCCTGGGGGTCCCACCCCCCCCCATCACACACACACCCCAGCTGTGGCAGTGGGCACACAGGTCACTGTGTGTCTGCTGCACACAGTGAGTGAGGGATTGCGTGCCCTCTGCTTCCCGGGCACTCATAGGGCCTCCTGTGATGATGACATGTGGGGGAATCAGTTGGGGGATGTGAAAATGGATGGATGTGCTCAGGGTGCAGATAACACATTGAGCACATCAAAGGATCCGTGGCTCAGGGAGGCAGTAAGCAGAAGGCAGGAGGAAGGAATGCCTTCCTTGAAACAACATGTCTGAGCATTTACAGCCATGCACATCCTTCAGGATGAAACCCAGGCAGCAGCAAAGCTTGGGTGGATGTGATGAAGCCTGGTAGGTGTCTGTGAGGCTGCTGCTGGGGGCTCCCCATGCCCACTGCTCCATTTCTGCCTCTGCCATCTTGGGCATGCCAAGCACAGCGTGCCTTCCCTCCATTGCCTGAGATGGGAACTGTCAGCATGCTGAAGTCAAACCCTATTGAACTGAACCTGCCTGGAGCTTATTGCAACCCCTGGATGTAAAGAGCGTTGCTTAAGCAACCGTGTAATATAGGATCAATTCCACAGCCAGCCCCCAGGGGCTCCTTTTTAGGTAGCTGTTGCATTCCTTGTAGTGTTTATCATTTTAAAGATGATCACACATTGTTTATCTTCACCGTGGGGAAAACCCGGCGCAGTGATGAGTTTTATTTGCAGCTCGTGGTATAAATAAGATTGATGGGTTGCTTTTCTTCTGCTTTCTGAGCTTCAGAGCTGCTCTCAGCAGGCAGACATCCGAGGCCAAGATCTCATCAAGGGGCTGCTGTGTGCAGAGGACGACCCAACCATCGTAGATATGGGAGATCCCTGATGTGGATCCTCCCCATGGATGGGGTTTGCATCAGATCCCCAGCTCTGTTGTGCTCAGGGTGAGAAGAGATGCAAAACCAACCCGAGAACTGCAAAACGAACCTTCCCAGGTTGGGATGCTGAGTTAAATGTGTTCAGAAAGAGACAGCTGCTGTCACAAATAGGTGAACATAGGGAAAAGGGTCTTGGGTTGTAGGCAGCGACGTGACGAGGTGGCTGTCTGGAGGCTGGGTGAGAAGAGCCTGGAGATAGGGTGCAAATCTCCATTCTTAGATGTTATTGCCACTCTTGACAGAAGGAAGAAGCATCGATACCATTTGGGTTTTGACTTTTGGAGGGCAAAAAGTGTGTGTGTACAGGAGGGGTCGAGTGATCGCTGAGCTCTGAGCTGAGGAGTCTTAACAGAGCAGTTATATGAACACAGTTCAGGGTTCATATAACTGCTCTGGGTTCACGGTTGAGCTAAACACTGCTTTGTGGGAGCTGGCTGGGGTTCCAGCTTGTCATTTAGCCTCGGTACAGCATGAAGTGTGTGAGAGAACGTGGACTGAAGGGCTTGGGTTGCTGCAGGATCTGTGGCTGTACCAGCGCACCACCCAAATCCCAGGCTTGCAGTGCTGTGCCAAAGGCAGCAGGGGAGCTTTGGGAGCCCGGGGCTGTCTGTTGTGACTCAGCACTTCGACGACTCACTGCTTCTCCTTCCAATGCTGTCCCCATGTCCCCAGCAGCCTGTCCTGCATCCCCAGCAGCCTGGGCCTGCTCCTGCTGCATGCCCTCAGACCAGAAGCTGACCTTCTTCTCAGCTGCCCTGCAGAATCTTGCTTTGTAAATAATGTTTTCGGAGCCACTTGCTCTCAAAAGAGCAAAGAACACAGATGTTGGTCAGCTTGAATTGCCCTCGGTGCCGTTTTGCATTTCAGCTCACCTTTCTGACCCTCAGCAATGCCCACGCATGCCAGAGCATTTCCACGCTTCACACGCTCTGCTGTCTCATGCTTTAGTGCTTATCTGGTGCACGCAGGGCCCTCACATTGCATGGTCGTTACACTGAATGCTACCTTTTTATCTTGCCTGAAGGAGAGGCATTGCTGAAGTGCTCCCTGCCTCCTTGCTGCCCCAGTATCACCATGCGGGAGTGAAGCTGGCTTGATTGCTGTCCCTTTGGTGGAGAGGATTATAGTTTACCATGAGCACACAGAATGAAAGCTCCCCATGTGGAGCTTGGGCTTGCTCTTGGTGTTGCCCTCCCAGGCTTTGTGTGCTACCTCTGCAGCTGTGCTTTTGGGGACAGCGTGAGAAAGAAGCATAGAGTGAATGCCAGCTGGAGGTCTGGGCAGCTGGGATGCTCAGGATGGCTCATGCAGCACAACAGGAGATGGGATGAGTGTGAACACCTGACGTGGACACAGACATGGAGCTGCTGGATTCGTGCTCCTGGATAACTGGGAGTAGCTCTCCTACATCTGTCATTTTTCACCTGAAAGCTGTGCTGTAGTGGCTGCAGCATCCCCTGTCGGTGGCCCTATCTCCTGGGTGACCTTGGAGCTGAGGAGGTGCTCTGCTGGAGCCCTGTGGGCTGCGAGTGTTGTGTGGCTCTGATGGAGTTAAGGCAGCGGGTTCTGCACATGGGCTGGCTCGAGTCCCACGCTCTGCACCAACAAAGGGGGTTGGTCACAGCCAGGCTGAATAAAAGCCATTGGGCAGTGCCACTGAGCCCCCACAGCAGTGAGAACTGGAGTTTGTTGGAGCTGTGAGGGCTGTTACGAGGAAGCTCTGTGCCTGAGCTCAAGGAATTCATGCAGGGGGTGTAAAACAGGGCAGAAAGAGCTCTTAAAAAGACAAGTGCTTCTTTCCAGAGGTGTCACACGCTCTCTAGAGCCCTTTTCATCTACTTCAGTGGATCCTTACGGGGCATTGCCTGGGGAGCCCTCTGCCAGCCACGGGTTTGCCAGAAAGCAGTGAAGTTGTTCACAGGACTCATCTCCTGGCTTTGAGTTCCTGCCCTGTCTCCTTAGCAGGGGTAACAAAGCAGGCTGCAGGATGCTGGGATGCCTTCCTGCAAGTCTCTCACTGCAGAGGACCCCATCTGCATAACTTACCCAGCAGATGTACTCATTACCTGGGAAAGGGCAACCAGAGTCCCTCCTTGGGTCTCTTGTGATGCTGTCTCATCTGGTGGTGGCCTTGGCAGCATCAAAAACTTCAGTGGTTTGGTGTGGAGTTGCTGCAGTTGTGCATAAGAAGTGCTGGGCTGTGTGCTGACCCTGGCACGGATGTGGTTTTTACATGAGGATGTCTCAAGGAATAAAGTAAGCAGCTGATGCTGTCCTCCTGTGCTTCATTTGTAATGGTCTCCTCCTGGAAACCTAGCAAGGAGCCCTGCAGCAGTGGGAAATACCTGCTTGTCAATCCAGCAGGATGAACCTGAGGGAATATTGATATCCATCCACGGAGCTGCTTTTTAACTGGGACACCTTGGGGGAAAACCATCTGCCTGGATCACAGTGAATATTTTCCAGTTGTTTGAGCACACAGTCTGCCTGGTACTTTTATTTCCCTTCAGTGCATTCACGGGGCACTGCTCAGAGGCATCCATTGCATCGTTTGTTCTCTTCTGCTTTAGGTAGTTCTGGCACGTAGTGCTGAAGGTTTAATGTCAGCTCCTTCCAGCATCCTGGGGTGCTGAGGTCTGTCACACTGCCCTGCAAAGGGAATCCAAACAGAGATGGGGGGTTGCCACTGCTTGGCACAGAAACAGCTGTGGCAGTGCTTTCGGGCTGGAAGTAAACCGCAAAACCTCATTTCTCATTTATTTTTCTCTCTGTTCCAGAGCCTAGCCCAGCTAGAGAACCTGTGCAAGCAGCTGTATGAGACCACAGACACTGCGACACGGCTCCAGGCAGAGAAGGCCCTGGTTGAGTTCACCAACAGTCCCGACTGCCTGAGCAAGTGCCAGCTGCTTCTAGAAAGAGGGAGTGTATGTAAACCAAAAACATCTCCTGTGTATCTCAGTCTTCTGGACATGGATGGGGCTGCTGGCCCCGGGTTCTGCTATGCAGTGTTTGTCTTGCACACCCAGCGTGTTTGTGTGTCTGTCTCAATTTGTAGACATCCTCTGCCAAAGAAAGCATTGGCACGCTGATGGCAAGCACTGCAGCAGCATAATTAGCTGCACATAGTTGTCAGTTCTGATGCCTGGTGGGCTTTGCTGCATTCTTTGCAGGCTGCCACCCAGCTGTGCCAAGCTTTAAGTGAAAGGTGTTATAATGTCAGTGGGGGGGGGGGAAATGGTTTGTGCACAGAGGTTCAAAGGAGATAAAACTAATATCTGAAACTCAGATTCCCAGCAGGCAGTTAGCTTAGCACTGCTGCTTGATGTTCTTGTTGTGAAATGTGCACTCAATGCCTTGTTTTTCTTCACAGTCATCCTACTCCCAGTTGTTGGCAGCTACATGCCTTACGAAACTCGTGTCACGCACAAACAACCCGCTACCATTGGAGCAGCGAATTGATATCCGTGAGTACAAGGCTTGGTTTTGCTGAGTGAATGTGAGAAGTTGTTGTGCACACTTTCATCCACGAGTGGGAGGCCTTCTGCAACCTCCTGTGTGTTACACTTGAACGTTCTAAGGTACAGAGTGGAAAGAAATAATTCTCTTCCCCGGAGTCTTCTCCTGCGTTGTTTGCTGGTAGAGCTCCAGGTTGAAGATGTAGGGTTGTGGAGATGGAGGGGATTGATGGCTCTGTGGCTCGTGAATGAATCTTTGATACGTTCCCTTTGGAAGTTAAAATACACATGGTGCTTTCCCCTTTAGAGGGCATGCTTTCCAAAGTGAAATTTTTTCTGGGTCTCTGAAATATCAGGCAGAGTGTTTCCTAAGGGAGCAGTCATTCTGTCGCAGTACTCTTCCCTGGAGAATGACTGATGCTTTCTTTCCTCCAGGGAAGGGCTCTGAATCTGCCTTCGTTTGTAGAAGTGATGCAATAAATGATCATCCCTGAGATCTTATAAACCTTTCCAGCTTTTCTCCCTCCTGACACGTGCATACAGAGGATGGGATTTAGTCTGGTAACACAGAATAAGTTACCTTTGGGGAAGGAGCTCACACCTGTCTGTCTGCTTTCCAGATCTGTTCCACAGCTCTGGCGCCTTGAAGGCACAAATGAAATCCACGCTTTTATCCAACCCACTGCTGTGCTCATCTTAGGATTGATTTTTTTTTTTTTTAACTGCTTTCACAAAGATACTTTTATCCTAACACAGCATTACCACCTCAGCTCCAGCTGCTGTGTTTTTGTCTGCAGAAACCCTCTTCTCTGTGTTCCAGGAAACTATGTGCTCAACTACCTTGCCACCAGGCCGAAGCTGGCCACGTTTGTCACACAAGCACTGATCCAGCTGTATGCTAGGATCACTAAGTTGGGCTGGTTTGACTGTCAGAAGGATGAATATGTCTTCAGGAACGTGATCACAGATGTCACAAGGTTCTTGCAGGTCAGAATTTAAGATGAATGTACATCTTGTGGGATTTGAAAGTCTCTGTGTTTCCTCTGTATTGCTCTGCAGCTCTGTTTGGTCTTTGATTTGATTTGCGTTTGTTGACTGAACAGTGACTCCAAGGCTTAAAAGCTAAAAATCGACCTGCTCTGCCAGCTGTCCTCATTTAATATTGGTAGAGTGGGGAGGATAGTGTGCAGACACTGAGCTTATAGGCAAGAGGTGGCTCCCATAAGGAAGTGGTGAAGTCCCAGACCTAAACGTGCCTGGATTTGTATTGCAGGTGAGTTTGGTCTTGGAAGTTGGAAGAGATCAGGGCAATTTGAGCAGGATGTGCTAACCAAGGTGGAGCTAGGGAAGGAAACATCATCTATTAGCTACAGGACAGAAACTGGGGCAAGGGAGCAATACAGGTTACTTCTTTGGAACCATTTGCTAAGTGGGTTGCTGTTTCTAGTGAAGAGGTATCCGTAGCAGACTCGTTTCACAACGGGGCCCCTGTTGGCAGTCTGCAGTGGAGCCAGAGGCCAAAAAGGCTGTGAAGAATGGGCTCTCTTCCCTGGGAGATAGGCTCAGGCCATGGGGCTGCTGCTCATATTATTCCAGGTCTGCAGTTCAAAAAGAAGAATTCCTTTCTCAGAGTTTCCATCTGAAGCTTTGGAGCCATCCTAATGTTGCAAAAGTGTCTGCACAGCTGCTGTTAAAACCAAGGAAACTGATTTAAAAATAAACCATCATCATCACCAATCTTCTCAGGGTTGGGGTATGAAACAAACATGGGGATTAAACTATTAAATAAAAGGAGCCTATTACTTATTAGCTCACATTACCACATTCTTCATAAAACCTTTGCATTGTTAATAAGATCAAGTATTGCATAACTGCATTTAAATTCTCATTTGATACTGCTCCCAGGCTTCTTCCCAGTCATAATTCTACAGGGATAAAGTAGTTGTAGAGAAGGATGTCTAGAAGTCTTCCAAACAGAAACATCTGTGACTAACAGTGATTTTCCTGAAAGCAGCCCAGCAGTAACTCTTTTCCCTGTCCCCTCTTCCTCAGGATAGTGTAGAACACTGCATCATAGGAGTGACAATCCTGTCCCAACTAACTAATGAAATTAATCAAGTAAGTGCTACAGCCTTCCTCAGTGAAGTAAGTGTCCAATTTTCTCATTCATATTGCTGTGTCCTGCTGTGTCTGTGCGTTGTTGGGGTTTTTGTTTGTATTTCTTTTCTATGGGTTGTTTTCCTTTTTGGTGTGGGGAGCATTGCATAGTGGGTGGGATTATTTTTTTTTTTCTTGTTTGTTTCTTACACAGTCCCATACCTGTGTGGTAAGATGCTGCTTCCTCCTGGCCTGAGGAGCTGTGTTGTTTCACTGGCATCTTCCATCTTCTCATACTTCCATGTAATCTTTTGAGATCAAAAAGGAGGAAGCAGTGCTACACAATGAGTCAAGCCTACCCAGCAAAGACCAAATCCAGAGCATCAGGACATCACTGCCACCTCCACTAGTCAGACCCTGTTCATTGTTACAGCTTAGTTCTTGTGCCAGGAGGTATTGACCAGGGAGATAAAACAAAGAGGATTTGTCAGATTGTGGAGGCTTTTAAAGCAACCTGTTCATTCAGTGCTGGATTTTGGCACGTTCCCAGCAGATGGTTCCCAAACAGTTCAGGTTCATTGGGGTTAACGAGTGCTGTGGCTTTGCTTGGTGCTGTCCTACATCACTTCCCAGACAAGTGGCACAGAGTTTGCCAAAGCACCTTTGGTGGCTTCCACTGCCCATAGAATTTAGTGGGTTTTGCTGATTTTTAGTATCTTACTAAGGAAAATTGTAACTTCTGCTAATAAATGGACTAATCCCAGCACCAGTATGGATTGATCCTCGTGTGGGGTTTGAAAGATGATGACAGACAGTCTCCAGAACTAGAAATGTTGGAGGAGATGTTGTTATCCTAGCCAGGTCAAAGCACCAGTTTCTCCTGCTGAAATTGAAGTTCAGCATCACTGAGCTTCCCAAGCCCTTCTCTGTAACCTGAACAGCATCTGCACTCATTTCAGACCCAAATTCACTTTCTTAAGCCTGGCCGGGTCAGTAAATCCAAACCTGCAGCTCTCCTCCTGCCTCTCGTGCCACATCATTACTGTGACAGCGTCCTTGCTCAAACTTTGTCCAGTGCCTTCATCTGCACAAAGGGAAGGTCCTTCACCTCTGCACATCAAGGATGGAGGGGCTCTGCCTGCCTCCATCAGTCAGCATCCTTGCAGAGCTGCCCTTGTGGTCACAGCAGTGATCAGCACAGGAACTGGCACCTGTTCCACTTCCCCACTCCCTACAGATTGATGTAAAAAAACAAACAAAAAAAAACCAATGAACTTAAAGGCTTCACTCAGAATTCCCTTCCTAAAAGCTTGCATATCAAATCTGCCGCAGTTTGCTGTTCATTCCTGTGCTCTGTGTTAGCCCTGCACAGGGCTGCATCCAGTGACTCATCTTGGAATGTCTAAAAGTGCCACTACTTGCAAAATAATCCTTCTGTCAACATTCCCACTCATCAGAGTGGGGTCATGTACACAGCAAACAAACAAGCAAAAAAAAAAAAATAAAAAATCCCACCTTGTCCTCAAGCTTTTTCTGGTAACTATTTAAACTGCCATTTATGTTATGCAACAGCAGAATTTGCTAAAGCTCTGTTGACTAAAGCTCGCAGCACAAATAGAATAGAGTGCTTAGGAACTGTGTAGAGGTATCAGTTTTCATCCTGAAGTGCTGCACAGACTTGCCTGGAGGTGCTGTGTGCCTGCTGTGTTACAGGAGTTCACTTAGTTACACCTCGTGGTGAAGGAAAGGGAAACTCTTGTTTGCTGCAAGCACAGAAGTATGTGGGATTTGTAATCACTATGGAAAGTCCTACTGCTCTATCCCACAATGACTGACTGCCCATCACGTAACTCATCCTGTGTTCAGATGGAGCAGTCTACAAAGTGACACAATCTGTGCTGCCATAAGCCTTTGTTAGTCCACGTTCAGAATGCATTCACTGAATTGGTGTCTTTGTTACCCATTGTAAAGCAATCTGTGTTTATCTGCCTCCCATATCACGTGTCATCTTTTATTCTGATACGATGAGAGATCCAGATCTGGAGTTCATAACAGATGCACCAAAGTCCAAACGCTCTGCTGCTGGTTAACTCTCCTAGTTTTGTTCCCATCTGTGCAGGTTCAGGAGGGGATATGTAAGTGCCTTTTAATTGCTAGTAGTTGACCAAGTGTCTGCCCAGCGGCTTCAGGTAGGATTCAGCTCTCAGGAGCACTTCACAAAGCAGTGCTCGAGTTTCTCAATGATTCTGTCCTGTTGAAATTACCACCTGCAATCCTGCTTTGGAGGAGGTTTAAATGAACTTGAGAGTAACCCAGGGGTACAGCAGAACGGTGTTTTAGGTGAGATGTTCCACTGTAAGCCAACAGTGCACTTTATCCATGGAGGAGGTGAGGGCAGAGGAGGAAGCACAGAGGGCATGTGTCCCCTGGTGCAGCCCGCTGGTGTCATGCCATGCTGGACAGGGAAGCCTTGGTGTCCCCAGAGCTGCTGCAGCACTCCTGTGTGTTCTGCTGGACTTGTGCCACCTCTGCCCATCAGTTCTAAGCTCTGCTTTTCTCTCTGCCCAGGCTGATACTACTCATCCACTGACCAAGCACAGGAAAATAGCCTCTTCCTTCCGAGATTCATCTTTATTTGATATTTTCACACTGTCATGCAATTTACTGAAACAGGTAAGGAAGCCATCGTTTGGCATCTCTTCTGGGGGCTGCGAGTTGGGGCAACAGCCTTTGGGCTGGCATTCCTTCCCGTACAAATCTTGGAATGTGTGCTCTGTTCTGAATTTGCTCTTTAGGAAAGCTTCCACTTGGGTTTATGTTATCTGTGCAGCAATTGCACAGATTTGATTGGTTCAACTTTTATCCTTCCAGCTGAACAATGTGTCAGCGTTGACAAATAGCACAAAGAGTGAAAAGCAGACTTTATTTTAAAGATGGTTTAAAATGAGCAGCTCTCGTTCTGCCAGTAATAAAGGGGATGTGGGTGTGATTTGATCTTTTTCTTATCCTGATTTCCAAAGGAAGCATGGCCTGCATAGTTACACTGGTTTTCATTCCTTGTGCACCCACCCTCCTGAGCAGCTCTAATAACACCTGAATTCAGCTATTTCTTTCAGATGCATTGGGGATGTATTCAAGTGGGATTCCTCCAGCTTTGTGAAGAAAAGCTCCTGGCCGGGTGGCTCAGCTGAGGGTTGGAGTATAGTGCAGCCTTGCTTGTGTTTGTGGAAGGTGTTGAAGCAGGACAGGGTTTATATGAATGCCCAAATCCTTTTGAGAATAACTGGTGATACACTGGGCTGCTAGAAACCAGTGATCAAGCTTCTATCAGCATCCATAAAATAGCATGCAGTTAGGCAGCTCCAGAAGAATAACTCATTGTGGAGGGGGTGAAGAAGACATTCCAGCCACTGTTGGCACGGCTCATGGCAGTGTCAGCACACTGCAATATGTTATTTGCAGTAGGCTTAAGCTGGAAGAGGTTTGTTTTGTTTCGAGCACAGAGCAGTAATACAAAGCAGAGAGAGGCTGGCCTGTCCCTGGAGTGCAGACCTGAGTGCTGCATTTAAGCTGCAGTGAAACGACCTCGTGTCTCAGACCCACCGAGTTCTTTGTGTCACTTGAGAGTGTGTGTGTTTTCCCCGGGCGTAGCAGAGCACTGTAACTGGAGCAGGGCTGATACAGATCATCTGTGCAGGAGAAGTGAATGCACTCCTTTCCATCTGAGGGGTAGGAGGAGTGACAGGATTCCCTGCTGCTAGGTGCTTGTCAGCACAACTATATTCTTGTGTTTAACCTTAATAAGAACTTCTGTATCTTGTGAATCTCACAGTATAATTGCATGCTGGCAGGCCTGGCTGCTTCTCTCCTGTGCAGCACAAACCAAGTGGGAAAGGAAGCCTGTGTTTACCCGTCTCACATGAAGACTGAGTGTGTAGCATGCTGTCTGTGGAAGTGTGGGGCAGCAGGGCTGGCTGCTACATGATCTTTGTGGCTGCCACATCCCCATGAAGTTCAGTTGTTGTCTCAGCCTCAGCTGTCACCTTGATTTTCTTATTTCTGCTTTTTGAATCCACCGTATCTTACAGGCTTCTGGGAAGAACCTGAACCTAAACGATGAGAGCCAGCATGGTCTGCTCATGCAGCTTCTAAAGCTCACTCATAATTGCCTGAACTTTGATTTCATTGGCACGTCAACAGATGAGTCCTCAGATGATCTTTGCACTGTGCAGATCCCAACCAGTTGGAGATCAGGTAATCCTGCTGGGGGAAGAGGCCTGGATAGAAACGTACCAGCTGGAAATCTGGAAATCTGGGTGACTTGATAAAGCCTTCTTTGCACTTCGACTTGTACATACAGTGCCAGACGTAGAGGCCAATTCAAGAAACAGTAAATTATTTAGGGGAAAAAAAAAAAAGGGAAAAGAAAAGCTATAAATAACAAATAGCTTGTCACCTGTTCTTCACACCCTTCCTTTTCTCACCAGGCATTTTGCAGGCAGTCCTACAGGCTGCTTTCTTAAAATATTATCCTGTAGTTTTGTCATAGTGCCATATAGCAGCTGGTTTATTTCTGGAAAAGCCAGAAAGCAAGTTATGTAAAAATGTAAAATCCTTTGGAGATGTTCTTCTGAGTGCAGTCCTCTGTGTGACAAGCATGCAGCTAATCTTGATTTGGACACATACGCCTCAGATTTCTGGAAAGCAGCGACTGGAGGTGTTGCCAATAAAGTGTTCTGTTCTGTTTCAGCATTCTTGGATTCTTCGACCCTTCAGCTGTTTTTTGATCTTTATCATTCCATCCCTCCTTCGTTTTCTCCTCTGGTAAGTTGGTTGTTTATGTTCCTTACAGACTCCACAACCAGCAGGTGTTTGTGGGGCTCATCCAGGAGGCTTGCTGTTGGACCTCACGCTTTGTTTTGGTGGCAGTGCTGTGCTATTCATCACCCCATTCACTTGGCATTCGCTACTGCAACTGCACCTTTGGAATCTATTCTCAGTGAAATTCCAGAGGTTTGAGTTGAGAATGACTTAATTGCTCCTTTTGGTGTTCTAATCCCTCCCTTTCTGCTCACTCCCTGTCCCCTTCAGGTTTTGTCCTGTTTAGTGCAGATTGCCTCTGTACGCAGATCCCTCTTCAACAATGCAGAACGAGCAAAGTTTCTGTCTCATCTCGTTGATGGAGTCAAGCGAATACTGGAAAACCCCCAGGTGAGTGTTTGAGTGCAGTCACTGGAATTCTCTGCCTCCTCTGCTTCAAGTTTTATCGCCAAAAATGCTTTCTAATGAACACATTCACCTTAGGCACTGGGGAGAGCGGTGTGACGTTTTGCTGCTCTCTTCTTTCTGTACTGTTCCGTCTCTGCCTCTTCCTCTTGCTGAGTAGTGCTGTTTCTCAGTTCTCCCTTTTTTTTCCTCTCAGAGTTTATCAGACCCAAACAACTACCATGAGTTCTGCCGATTGCTGGCCCGATTGAAAAGCAATTACCAGCTGGGAGAGCTGGTGAAGGTGGAGAACTATCCCGAGGTCATCCGACTCATTGCCAACTTCACCGTGACCAGCCTGCAGGTACGAGCTGCTTCCACCTGCCCTCGCTGGCTGTTGCACTTTCTGTGCTGCAGAAGTCAAAACAAACGGATAAAATAATCACAGCTCACTGATTTCCTTTCCTTTCTGCTGGCTCTTCAGCACTGGGAGTTTGCACCAAACAGTGTTCACTATCTGCTGAGCTTGTGGCAGCGGCTGGCAGCATCAGTGCCCTACGTGAAAGCCACTGAGCCTCACATGCTGGAAACATACACACCAGAAGTCACAAAGGCGTACATCACATCCAGACTGGAATCTGTGCACATCATATTGAGGTATGAAAAGCAGAGAGATGGCAACACCGCTGCTGCAGGCACCAGGATCTGGCACAGGAGGCTCTAGTGGTTCAGTCCTGACTTTTCTTTTAGGAACAGATGTGGCTGTAGGAAGTTTTGTGGGTCGCCAAAGGGTTTTTCAGGGAAGCTTACCTTAATCTCATATTCTGTCTTTTATTATACAAAAGAAAACATGCATTTTCTAAGCTTGTTGTTGTTGTTGTTCGTTTAGACCTCAATCAGTCCCAGATGTTTGGGATTGATCTGAGTGGTTTCGGAGGTGCTGTCTCACCCACCTGCAGCATGCCATTTGCACTCTGAATTCCCATCCTAACAGAGAGGGATAAGCAAAGAAAGAGTGATTCACTTAATTTTTAATCTGCTGTAGGATGGCACAAATCATGCCTGAAAGTATCCCTTTTATTTTGAATGTCAAGGCAGCCTGGAGGACCCTGCTGCAGTGCCTTTATTTGCCTGGGATGAGTTACACCTTGTGTTTGTATGTCAGGTATAGAAAAATAATCTTTGAATGAAGGGGAGACAAATCAGCTTATCCCTTTTGAGATACCTAACGAAGCACGGGTGGAACAGCAGGTTTATTTAATTTTGGTATTCGCAGTGCAGTGCAGTGTTGAGGTTAATGCAGTTAGAGAAAAAGGAAACTGAAACATCAAGAAAGATGGAAAGCTTTATGTAATAAAGACAGCCAGACAGAGAACTTGTTCTTGGCACTAAACTAACCATATGTAACCATAAAGATGTAAGAAGAGCTTACTCATCCCAGCTCCTCAGGGTCCTTCCACCTGAACCACTCATGTTTTCCTGATTTATGGCTGCAGCAATGTTCACATTATTAGATCAGTCTGTGCAGCTCTCCATCATGACAGAGACATCACTCACTGCAGTGTGTGTGCCCAGGGAACGCACCTCCATAAGCTTATGTTCCAGGTTGAGCCATCACTGCCTTTTAAGTCCTTACCTATGCTGCTCTCTTGCTGCACAGGGATGGTTTGGAGGATCCACTGGATGACACTGGCCTCGTGCAGCAGCAGCTGGATCAGCTCTCCACCATTGGCCGGTGTGAGTATGAGAAGACATGTGCTCTGCTCGTGCAGCTCTTTGACCAGTCAGCCCAGTCCTACCAGGAGCTGCTGCAAAGTGCCACCGCCAGCCCCATGGACGTTGCTGTGCAGGAAGGTGAGCTCTGGGAGAGCAGTGGTTCCAGAAGCCTGCATTCCTGGTGAAATCCACACAGGGCAGCCAGATTTTGCACGTGTTTCCCTAGGGAGGTGTTCTGTGGTACAGAATATTCTTGACTGGACAGACATTCCCAACACACACAGCAGTGTTTGCTGGAGGTGTTGCTGTCCTGCACACTTTTTGGGGGGAATGATTGCATCCATTCTGCTTGCCCAATCTCACAGAGATGGGTTTTAAAGATGTTCTCTGATCTGTGGGTGATCAGCCATACTGCCCTGTCTGTCTTTTCTCTGAGGGAGGGTGTGGACCATTCATCTGAACTTCTCTGCCTGTGCAGCAGTTGGTTGGGATGAATAACTGGGAGAAAGCTGCAAACCTCTGTCTGAAGGGCAGTGTCTGTCTGCAGCACAGGGTGGGCTCTGCACACTCTTTGGTTTAGGAATCCTTTAACATTAGCCATAGAAAAAGCAACACCTTTTTTGAGATGTGGGTACAGCTGTGTTACGCCCCTTCTCTAATAACGTAGCTGGCTTATCCTTCCTTGCAGAAATTGGGCACATCAGCACAAGTTTAGAGACTACAGATTCCTTCCGAAGCAGTATTTGATCTATTACAGTGCCATTGTGTGGGCAGAACTCTGTGTGATGCTGACTTCTGCATCAGACACATGAATTTTGAAAGGATAAGTGCTGCCTGCTGGCACCTGCACATGCTTAAATACACAGGATGCACTTTTACAAGGAAGTGACTTTCTGCTAAGGAATAGCTTTAAATAATGAACATCTTCCAAGCAAACCTGGCATCCTTTATTCCTTTCCTAGTAAAGACATGCTTGTTTTCCACCAGGTGGAGAACTGAGTACTCCTGGTATACTTGGCACAAAAACAGAAAGATAATCCCATCTTTGCCAACCTGAACTGCAGGTCTCCTCGGTTTCCTCCATGTGATGTGACGTGTTTGGTTCTGATGTCCTCTGTTGGTTGCAGGGCGCCTGACGTGGCTCGTCTACATCATCGGGGCAGTGATTGGTGGTAGGGTCTCATTTGCCAGCACAGATGAGCAGGATGCAATGGACGGCGAGCTGGTTTGTCGGTAGGGATGCTGACTCTTTTCTAGCTGCACCACCCTTGAAGTCTGTAAAAGATCTGGCTATCATGAAGCTGTCGCCATGTTCTTCCCCTCTCTTCGCTGAAAAGAACAGTGTGGAATTGGCCATCCTGAAAGAAGAGATTGGCAGCTCTGGCTACAGCCAGGCAGCAGATTTCTGCTGAGGCTTGACTAAATTGGGAGGGCTGGGTTGTAAGAAGAGGATGAGAGGGGAAGAGCATGAAAGAGGGGAGTTCATTCTGGGCTTAAATGCCAGAATGGTGCATGCGTTGAAGTAGAACTAAATGAGGTGGGGTTGGAAAATCTCTGTCCTAGTTAAAAACCCAAAGTGGGTTTTGTCCTTAATATACTGCAAATATTATAGCCCTTCTCTACGTGTTTAAGGCTTTGTGTTGTCTTCTAACACCTGATGGATTTGGGGGATGGTAAACTCCCTGCAGTGCATGCACCACTTGTTGGATGTGAGAACATGTGTGGACTGTTAATTACAAACAACCCTGAGCCACACTGAGTGCCTTGTAGTTTGGAGCCTAATTGCTGTGCTCTGGAAGGGTGGGAAGAGGAGCTAACCAGGGCAAGTGTGGAAGCTGGTCTGTTGGAGAGCCATGGCTGATAAATTACATCAAGCATTGGCTTCCCAAGTAGTTACTGAAGAGGAAATGGTGAGACTTCATGTACATTTCAGTAACTCTTAGTGCCAGTGTGTATGCTAGGTGTTGATAAGAATCTTTGTGCTTTGTGGCACTGACCAGGATGGGATATCACTTCTTCTGCCCCCTGTTGTGCTGCATGTGTGTAACCCTGCAGTCCCACCCCTCGTTGGCCCTGCATACAGCTTCCCACAAGGCTCACAACAAAAGCCAGTTGTGGTGTCATTTAGAGGGGAAGAAGCAATGGTTAGCAGGATGGATCAGTCCCTGGGTAAGTGTGCTACAGCACCTGAAACTCCCTTCTTTAGCAAATTAAATCCAGGGCCTGCTATCCCTTTTGGAAGGGACATAGAAGCCTTAGAGTGGCCTTGCACAGAAAAGGAACGTATGCTAGTCAGTCTTGTTGTCAGTTTAGTTAACTGTTGACCCAAAACAGCAATGCAGAAAGTAAAAACCACCGCTGGAAGCAGCCCTGTGTGCCTGAAGCCCCTCAGTGCTCCTGCATCCAGCAGCAGTGACCTGTTTTTCCCCCCTCCTTGCAGGGTGCTGCAGCTGATGAACCTGACGGACTCACGGCTGGCACAGGCTGGCAATGAGAAGTTGGAGCTTGCCATGCTGAGCTTCTTTGAGCAGTTCCGGAAGATCTATATTGGAGATCAGGTGCAGAAGTCTTCCAAGGTAATCTCCTTTGTGTCTTTTGCCATGCCAAGTGCAGTTGTAGCTTCACTTTTTAGAATGAAAGCAGGTGGCACTTAGGAGGCTTGCCTGCTCTGTTTCCTGGATCTGTGTTAACACTTCAAACCCTGAGCTGCTCTTGAAACACTGTGCTCTGTGTTCGTGGGGAAGGAGACAGAAATGGTGACAGCAGCCTTAAACTTGAGATCTGGGTTCAGTTTTTATCCACCAGCTTCCTTCTGTGACTTCACATGAGTCTCTTAAGCCTACATACATGTGAAAGTCACTTGATACGTACATCCAGCAGGAACCCAAGCCGTTGTATGTGTGCCTGGTTTCCTCAGCTTTGAAGTGAAGATAAATAGACATTCTCTTAATTACAAGGCAGTTGTAGATGGACTGGACTCTCAATGCCTTGGTGCATCTTCACAGATGTAAGAGAACTTTCAAAAGAATGTAAGGAACAGGAAGATCCTTATTTCAGAACTTGGTTCTCTTCCAGTAGCCTGTGGCTGCGAAGGAAGGACAAATGAAAATCAAGTGATCCTTGATTATTAATTACTTTATTGGCAATTTCTAAGTTGGTGTTGTCTTTCCCTCCAGCTGTACCGCCGTCTCTCAGAGGTCCTGGGGCTGAACGATGAGACCATGGTCCTGAGCGTCTTCATAGGGAAAATGTAAGTGTTCCTGATTGCAGGCAGCAGAGGTTCCAGGGCTTGTTTGAAGGTGTAACCAGGAAGACTGGAATATGAGGGAGTGCTGTTGTCTAAAACCAGTAACATCTGGCTACTTGAGAGAATTACAGGCTGTGATCAAAGGCTTAAGTCACGCACAGGATTGATTTATCCACCGTGGATTCTAGCCTGGGCTATGGAGACACAAAAATAACCCGTACACCAGGATAATGGATTCTTTTTTCAGTGCCTGCTTAGTAAAACCAGTCAGAGAGGGGACAGCCTCCAGTACCCGTGCCCTGTCACTGGACTATTGCCAATCACCAGCCACAAAAGCTCTGTGAGGAGGGGACTGCTCCTTCAGAGTGCAATTTGTGCTGTTCAGTACCAGAGTAGCTCAGGTCCTTTCCCTAAAGCTCTTCCACTCCAGCACACAGCTCTCTGGACCCAACCTGTCGGCTGGCTGCTGTCAGTTAGCATTCTGAAGCACTTCACCAGCTCCGAGGCTGAATCCCAGTGCCATGTGCCTGGAGCTGTGCAGCAGCTAGCTCTGAGCTCCCCTTGGCTTCTCTAGCATCACCCCCTCGTTAAGTGCATGGGCCTTTGGCTGCCCTCACGCGCTGAGCTGCGCGTTCTCAAGGGGTGAAGTGGCTCTCCTGGAAAAGAAGCAAGGGCTACTAGAATTCTGCAGCTGACAGTGGATGGTGCAGGTGCAGAATTGCATACGTCTGCATGTAGTCACTGCCGCAGAATTCTCTTACCCTTGCTGCAGAAACCAGCCCTGGAGTGCCACAGAATTCCAAGGGCCTGGGTATGGGCCAGTGTAGCTTGGGACCCAAGTAGTGAAGATTATCTGAAGGATAATTTTCTAGTCAACCAAATGTAAGTACAGTGATTTTATACCAATATTTTGTGGCTTGTAATGTCTGTGGTTTTGGTGGAGGGTGGAGCTGCTGATGTTGGGTGACTTTTGACTAGAAAAATCTTCTGCACAGCCAAGGGGAAGCTGAGCAAAGCCCACTGACACGTCCTGTTGTCCTCTTCCCTAGCATCACCAACCTGAAGTACTGGGGTCGATGTGAGCCTATCACCTCCAAGACGCTGCAGCTGCTCAATGACCTCTCCATTGGATATCCTTTTCCGAAGAGCTGTGGGGGTGCAGAACAGAGGGAAGAGCAGCCAGGTGCTCAGCTGGAACAGCAACGCTCTGCATCTGACAGATGGCTGGACTGCTTCATCTTATGGGTACTGAGAAGATAGCGAGAGTGCAAGTGCTTCATCGACGTGTTATTTAGCTGTTGAGTTATAACCAAAGGCTATAGTATCATTCTTCTTTAACTTTGGATCATAGTTGCTTTGCAGCTCACCGTCCACAGTGTTAATTTGTTTACAGTCGTGGTCTGTTTGATGCTCTCCTATTTGTTCTTCCTGACAGAGTTTAAAAGCAAATCCCTTCAGCCCTCTGCAGTAGAGATGTGTGCAACTTGGTAAGAGTTGCTCTTGAGACAAATGGAAGAGAACCTACAACGCAGTTAATAAAACAGACACGAGTCTTCCCCCAGTTTTGCCCTAGAAAGTGCTTTGCAGGCATGGCAGGAGGTGTTCTGCTGAGTGCAGCTTCCTTAACACCCCCCTTACGTACAGCAGCGTCAGAAAGCTGGTGAAGCTGAGCGCTGTGCAGTTCATGCTGAACAATCACACGGTAAGTCTTCGCCTCCCGTTCATTGTCTCACCACAAACTCCTCTGTCTGCCTTTTGGAGCTGAGATAACCCCCTGATTTTAGCACTTGGACTCACTTAAAGTTTTCCTCTCTTCCGTCATACTTGAAAGTGGGATCTCTTTGTTCAAAGCCTGCCCTTCAATTTGGAGGGGTTATAATTACACGGTACCTTTCATCCCACAAGGGATAACATGGGGCTGTTTACTCTGTACTGAAAGGCAGCTGTGTCCAGTGGGAGGCAGTCAGTACTGCTGCCCATGCAGACAGAAGGGCAGCAGGCAATGCTCATGAAAGTTAAAGCCAATTTTAATGCCTCAGCTTTTCATGGTGAAAGCGCTGATTTGGAGGAAGCTCTGGGATAGCAGCACTGCTCCTCGCTGCCCTGGGAAGACCTGGGATGTCAATTTGAAATCCAGAATGTCAGAATGAGCAATTAGAAGTGAGCAGCAAAGTGCAGTGGGTTTCTGCCTCGCCTCTCGGAGCGCGTGGCCATTTGATGCTGCAGTGATAGGAGCCGTGTCCAGAAGGTCTGGACTGACTGGTTGAATGGGGCACTTTGTTCCTCTATCTAGGGGATATTTTACAGGCAGAGCTCTGGTCCAGAAACTGCATTTGGTTGGCTCTGTAGGGCTGCTGCTTTCCCATGTGTGAAGGCAAAGTAAGCAGGGATCTGCCAGCCGGGACTGGTTTTGCACAGCTTTGACACCTGAAGGAACCCTATGAGTAAGGGGGCAGATGGATGCTGTGCTCTGGAGGCAAAGCAAGGCTTCCTCTTGGCTCCGGGGCAGTTCCCAGGTGGAGAGTGGCAGTGCTGGCAGCCAGGAGGGCTGGGTGGGCAGCACAGCTCCAGCAACCTGCCAGCACGGTGCGTGTTGCCCTCTGGTGGTGTGTGCTCTGATATCCCACAGATATTACTTCTCATTCCTGCACAGGCTCAGAGTTAGGCAGGAGAATGAGGAACCCAGGAGCCTCCACAAGCAGGTGGTTCTCCTTTAACCTGTCTCTTCTGTTTGCAGAGTGAGCACTTTTCCTTCCTGGGCATTAACAATCAGTCCAACCTGACTGACATGAGATGTCGGACTACGTTCTACACGGCACTTGGGCGTCTTCTCATGGTGGATTTAGGTACTTGGGGCTTTGTCTGGGATCCAGAGCAGAGCAGTGACTGTGTGGTTTGGATGCTGGCTCCGCACTGTGCTGAGCCCTGCTATTTAGAGAGCTGTAAGCTCCTCCAGAAAGGATGCCAGGATGGGAGAAGCTAAATGGGGAGTGAGAAAGGAAGGGAAAGAAGCTTGAGACTGGGACCGAGATATTCCTTTGTCCAGTGTTTCCCTGGGATGTCAGGGTTTGCTCTGAGCCCTTCCTGTAAGTTGGATGTTGGCAGTGATAGAGCACCTGTCTGGCAGCACAGGGTCTCCTTGCCTCTAGCTGTGTGGGTGATCAATGTCTGGATGTCTCAGAGAGGCAGACCTGCAGGGATGTGCAGTTTGTTTCCTCCCGATTTCTGTCTTATTTCAGGAGAAGATGAGGATCAGTACGAGCAGTTCATGCTTCCCCTGACAGCTGCCTTTGAGACTGTGGCACAGATGTTCAGCACAAATACTTTCAATGAACAAGAGGCAAAAGTAAGTTGGGCACAACCTTCCCTGTTATCTGTGCTCCCCTCTGATAAGACAGGTGGATGGCTGGGGTGTGATGGGTGCTTTCCTCCTGTTACCTGGGGAAGCAGTGATGTTCTCTGTGCTCCTCCAGGTCTAGGTGTAGTTCATAATTAAAGGAGTGAGGCTTATCAGCCAGCTGGGAACAAAATACCCCAGCATTGTCATTACCCTAACTTGGCTTAAAGAGGCTTTCTGGCACTTGAGAGGAAGAACTGTCTGACCTGCATGGATAGCAACCTTGGAGAGAGGGACAAAGGGAGGCAGCTGTGGGCTGGTGGAGCTGGAGGGGGAGAGATCCCTTTAATGTGTTGTTTCTTTTGCAACGCAGAGAACTTTGGTTGGTTTGGTGAGAGACTTGAGGGGAATCGCCTTTGCCTTCAACGCTAAGACCAGCTTCATGATGCTGTTTGAGTGGATGTATCCTTCCATTCGTTGTCTGTTGAGCCCTCCTGATGGGAACTCTGGCTGTCTGCATCCCAATGCCCTGCTTTTCCTGCTCAGTTCTGACTGGGGTTTTTCTTGGCTTCTGTAGCGCCCGGTGTCCTGTCTGTAAGCCCTCAAACAGCTTTGACTTGGTCTGTCTGCAGCCATGTGAACACAGACATCAGCTCAGAGCTGAATTGTTGGGGTTTATCCAAGTGGACCCCCAGAGGTTTGACCTGTAAAGCACAATGGTTTTTAATGGGGCGTATGCATCTCAGCACCAGCGACAGCTTTCCTTGTGCTCACTGAGCACAGTATCTGCACTCCAAACGTCCCTTTGGTGGTGAAGGTCAGCTGTCTGTTTCACTGACGGATCTGTTTTGTCCAAAGCCCTTTTGGTTCTGGTTTGTGCTGTTAAAAGGAGTACACACCCCATTCCTTCAGTGAACCTATAAGGTTTTTCTCAGGTAAAGCCAGCAAGCAGCACCAACTCTGCTTAGCCTTGTTCATCGGCTGCTTTGCAAGGCTTGGATGCAACACACACAAAACAAGCCTTTTGGTAGAAATTGTGACCTTTCTTTTTCACACAAAGCAACAAAGCTCCTTAGCTTTCACCTCACAGCTACCCATCCTACATGCCAATCCTACAGCGGGCGATTGAGCTCTGGTACCACGACCCAGCCTGCACGACGCCTGTCCTCAAACTGATGGCTGAGCTGGTACATAACAGGTAGGAGCCTCAGTGGCTGCAGGCTGGCAGAGATGGGTGCCTGTCTGCTGCTTCAGCCATAGGGTGGGTGTTGATAACCCTGCTGTGTTTGCTTTGCTTTGGTTTGCTCATACTACCAAGAGTGGGAGGGGGAAAAGCTGGCATTGCTTCAGCAGGGGGAGGACAGCTGATAGTTCATAGATAGCAGTCGTGTCGTGGCACAGTGAGATCAAAAGAAGCCCGATAAACGTGCTGAATTTCTTTAGTGTGTGTTTGTAAGGATGGCACTGCAAGGTGGAAGCGGGAGAGCTGTGTTAATTTGCAAAACCTGTCCTTAAATTCTGTCTGGCAGAAGGTGACCACTTCTGTTTAAACCACGAGCTCTCTGCCAGCACAGAGGGACCTCTGACGCCATTCAGATCATTGAGAGTCTGTCTGATCTAGCAGTGGAAGGCTGCCAGGGTGCTGCTCGGGCCCACAGCCAGCTGAACACAGCCCTATAGGAAGGGACCATTGTTGCAGCCGAGTGGAAAGGACAGAAGGTTCAGACGTGGTCATTGCAAAGCTCTTGAGAATCCCTACTGTCAGACTGACCACAAGCGAATGGCATCTTTGTAGCAGGACAAACCTTCCTGGAAAAGTCCACTCATTAATTTCAGAGGTGAACTGAACAGCTCACTGCACTTCAGTTTGGAGATCTATTCACTGCAGGGCTAGAAATGCCAAGCTCTGAACTTTTGGTCATGTTATGAATAGGAGCTAGTCAGCAGTGCTGCCTTCCAAGATGCTTGCTGTGTTTGTGTACAGCAGCCTGGCGACCATTGCCAAGACAGGATTTCCACCCTCAGCCTCATCGTATTCCTAACGTCTGCAATATATAGGGCCCTTTCTTCTGCAACACCAGGGCCTGTCTGTCCCTGAGTGCCCACACCCTGCTGCTGCTGCTGAGCAGAATTACTCGAGCAGAGCAGAGGCACTCGGGGAGAAGCGTGGTTCTGTCGTGTGAGCTTTCTTTTCATTCCCACGTATGGTTGAGCTTCAGTTTCTCTGCTGTCTTTCTCTTAGATCCCAACGGCTGCAGTTTGACGTGTCCTCACCGAATGGCATCCTGCTCTTCAGAGAGACCAGTAAAATGATAACTACTTATGGTGCGTGCCCAGGTGGGCTGCAGGCAGCTCGGCCTGCCCCCGGCTCCTCTGGCTGGGGAGGGAGGGCTGGGTGCTTGCCAGTGGGCCTGAGCTGGGGGGCAGTGCTGGGAAAGGTGCTGAGTGCGTGCTGGGATGCAGGGAGGTGCTTCTCCTTCAAGTGCTGGGTAGGTGGGGCTCTTCACTGGGAAAACATGGAAGAAAATGACAGCAGTGAGCAGGAAGCCTGGCTGAGCCCCTTGTGGGTGTGCAGGCTGACAAGGGCAGACCTGCAAAGCAAGTGGAAGGCAGCCCTGTCCTTATGCATCCTGTTTCCGCAGCAGAGCTGCCTGCAGCTGTTCTGAGCAGTGCCTTTAGCTTAATGTCCTCAACTGTTGGCTGGGAAATCAGTCTGTTGGACTCCCTGCAACTCCTCACGGCTCTGCCTTTTTTTTTTTTTTTTTTTGCCTTCACCCTGGAGCAGAAGGGGATTGAATGTGGTTTCTGAAACACTGAGTTGTCTTCTATGCTCCCACAGGAAATCGTATCCTAACGCTTGGGGAGGTCCCAAAGGATCAGGTCTATGCCTTGAAGCTGAAGGGGATTTCCATCTGCTTCTCTATGCTGAAGGCCGCACTGAGTGGGAGTTATGTCAACTTCGGGGTCTTCCGTCTGTACGGGGATGATGCACTGGACAATGCCTTGCAAACTTTTATCAAGCTTCTGCTTTCCATCCCTCACAGCGACCTCCTGGTAAGCAGACGTCTGAGATGAGCAGTGTCAGCACACAGATTATACAGGAAAGGAATACTTTAATCACGGGGATGAGTGAACTCGTGCCACCTCCCAGAAACCCCAGTTTGGCACAGCAGGAAATTACAGCTCCTGCATGTGTGGCTGCAGGTCCCGTGTGAGGGCTGGGGCTGCTCTGCAGGGCCTGAGGGCTGCCCTGCTGCTTCTCCCCCAGCAGGGTACACTCCAGATCTCAGCAATGCAATTACCAAAGCTATTGCTTCTCTTCCTTGGAGTGAAGTGTGATTCTTCCCTGCATTGCCTGTGGGTAGAGATTGGCACCTGTTCTCTGTGTCTGCCATGCATCAGCACTTACAGTGCAACCCTCTTGCTGAAGGCCTTCACCTATGAGTTTTGCTCCTGTGCAGTAATCCATTTCATGGCAGAGCTTTGAGGCCCTCTCAGCACAGCCCTACTCCTCCAAACAGTGAGGAGAGATGGCAGCACATTGCTCACAGTCTCACAGCAGCAATTTGAAAGAAGCTGCATTCGGTTCTTGATCTGTTATACTGTGGGCAGACAAGAGAGCTGCCCTGCTCTGGGTTTTTTGTGGCACTGACTGCAGGAAGAATTGCCAGTGCAGGCTGCTGGGCCTGGTGCTGCATGGGTGGTTTTGGAGGTGAGGCAGCCAGCTGGAGAGCTGCTGCTATCTCTGCATCCCCAGCTTTGGCAGCAGGCAGCAAATGCTCTCCATCAGGAGCAAAGCAGTGGGGAAAGATGTTCAGATAGAGCAGTGTTGGAAGCTGTTGTGTTGGTGGAGCCTGTTTGGAAGGCAGGTGGTGGGAGAGAAGGGAGAAAATGTGTTGGCTCATAAGTTATGCTGCAGGAAAGCTTTGTTCTCTTTCCAGGAGATGGAGTGAGCAGTTTTCAGGTGATAAATGAGTGGGTTGGGTGTGCAGCTCTGCAGAAGGTCTCTGCTGGGTTATAGGCCAGCCAAGAGGCCTGAGGTCTTCCTCTCTCTCTCTCTCTCTGCAGGACTATCCCAAACTCAGCCAGTCGTACTATTCCTTGCTGGAAGTTCTTACCCAGGACCACATGAACTTTATAGCCAGTCTGGAGCCTCATGTAATCATGTATATTCTCTCTTCCATTTCAGAAGGCCTCACTGCACTGGGTAACTACCTCTGCTCTCTGTTAAGGCTCGCAGGGCTTTGATTTGGGAGTGGGGAAAAGATTTTGGCTGCTATTTCAAACTAAGAGATAAAATGTACATTGCAAAGGGGGAGAGATCCCCGATTGCTGAAGGGGGAGGTGGTTCTTGCCTCCCAGATCAGTGGCAGTCTGTTTCCCTGGGAGCCTGCCCAGGTGTGTCTGAGACAGGGCAGTGCTGGCAGCATCCCAATCTCTGCCTCTTTCCTCTTCCTGCAGACACCATGGTTTGCACAGGCTGCTGCTCCTGTTTGGACCACATTGTCACCTATCTCTTCAAGCAGCTGTCTCGCAGCACCAAGAAGAGGACCACACCTCTGACCCAGGAGAGCGACCGCTTCCTGCACATCATGCAGCAGCACCCCGAGATGATCCAGCAGGTGAGAATGGCTGTCAGGCCCCCGGTGAGCCCTGGGTGCTCCTGCTGTGATGTCCTGTGGGTGCTGTGTGCTTCCTGCTGCGCAGCCCCAAGCTTTTCCTGAGGAGGAGGGATTTGGGGCTAATGCAGCACCTCTCCTGCGTGCTCATCATATGGTAGGGCTGCTTCAGAGCCACGTTTTGGGGCTGTGGTTCTCCCTGTGCAAGGAAGGGTTCTCCTTGTGGTGCTGGCAGTCGAAGAGAAGCCAAGCAACGCACACCCAGCCACAGAGCGTGCAGTCTCCTGCTTTAAGTCATGACTTGTTTCATTATCTTGGAGCAGTGCAGGGGCACGTGTGTGCTCAGAGCAGAGCAGGCCCTGCAGCGTCCCCATGCTTACCCAGGCTGTGCCCAGAGCTCAGCATACAGAAACAATCTGTGGTCCTCGTGTTGGGGCTGCGTGGAGCTGAGCGTTGCTCATCCCTCTGTTGCTCCAGCTGCTCAGCATTTCCCTCAGCATTACCAACCTCAGTGCTGCTGGGTGTCAGCGTCAGCACAACCCCCACGTGAAGGCAGGGAGTGTTGTGCCATCCTTGGTAGGAGATCAAATCAAGCTAAAGCTGGCTCTGTTGGGGCCAGAAGCTGTTTTTTGAGGGTAAAAGAGAAGCTGCATCTTCCAAACCAGCTCAAATGCGGGCTTTAATTCCTTCTGCTTCATAATGAGGCCATGGAATGAAGCACAAACCTGGTGCAGACTGGAGGAAGATCCCAGAGCACGTGCTGTCTGTGCATGTCAGCACTCACTGCTGAGGAAGATGAGATGATCCTCCTCTGCTCATGCCAGGAGCAAACACCTCCACAGCTGGGAGGAGGGCTGGGCTGGAAGGATCTCCTCTAAGCTCCGTTTTCCCTCTTCCAGATGCTGTCAACAGTGCTGAATATCATCATCTTTGAAGACTGCAGGAACCAGTGGTCAATGTCTCGGCCTCTGCTCGGCCTGATACTGCTCAATGAGAAGGTAACATCCAGCCCCACGTCGTGCTGCTGGCCTTGGGGCAGTGCTGTCAGAGCAGGGGGGGAAGTTGGGACTGGGAGCTGATTACCCCATTAATTTCTCATCTCTAAGAGCACTAGAAGAGCTGTAACGCTTCCTGAAGGGCATTCCCCATCCCAGAGCCGAGCTGGCTGTTCCCTGGAAGCTAACCCAGCTTTTTTTACCTCCCCCCCCCCCAGTATTTCTCTGACCTGAGGAACAGCATTGTGAACAGCCAGCCCCCGGAGAAGCAGCAGGCCATGCACCTCTGCTTTGAGAACCTCATGGAAGGCATCGAGCGCAACCTCCTCACCAAGAACAGGGACAGGTCAGTGCTGCACAGCGCGGAGCCCCGGGCTGGGGAGGGGGGTTGGGATGGCGAAGGACCCCCGCCTGAACGAATGCTCTGCCTCTCCCTCAGGTTCACACAGAACCTGTCGGCGTTCAGACGGGAGGTGAACGACTCCATGAAGAATTCCACCTACGGAGTCAACAGCAACGACATGATGAGCTGACAGCTCCCAGCTCCTCCTGCACGGCGCAGCATCTCTTTGGCCCGGCCCAGAGGGGTTCCCGTTTTCCGATGGAAAGAAAAGAAGGGGCGTTTTCTAATCCCTGCTCTCCCCCAGGGCTGAGCTGCGGCGCTGCTTTGGCCCCCGTGCTCCACGTCCATAGGGAGGAAGGGAGCAGGAGGGGTTGATCGGCGGGGGCAGGGTGCTTCTGTTTCCATGGGAGGGGGTGGAAGGGCAGCGATCAGCGCCAGCACGGCGGCCCCCGACCCGCACACGTCGGCTGCAGCCCCCGCCTTGTATAAAACATGTACATTTTTTCATAAACATTTTGAACAAGGTTTATATTGACTCGAGGTTTAAAAAAAAAAGAAAAAAAAAAGAAAAAAAATTACGAAAAAAAAAACAAAAAAAAAACCACACACACGCAGACACACACACACACACAAAATAGAAAAACAAAACAAAAAAAAAAGAAGTGTGATTGCAAATGTTTCTCTATAGAGTCCTGGTGCACCGGTGAGGGGTTGTGTGTGCGAGTGAGGAAGCAGGGGCTGGATGGGCCGGGGTGGGTGAATGGGAGCGACCACCATAGAGAGAAAGAGAGAGAGAGAGAGAGAGAGAGAGGGAAGAAAACAAAAACAGAAAAACAAAAATGGACAAAAACAAAACCGAACCACACCGAAAAGCATCCTCTGATCCCCAGTGTGCATTTTTTTCTTCTTCAGGCCCTTACAACAAAACAACTCACGGCCTCCCGTCCTGCCCTCGTTGTTAGGAACTCGAAGCCATGCCGTGTGCTCTCATTCCTGCTTGCTCGTGGGTGTCCCCCCTTCCTCTCCCCTTCCTCTCCCCCCACCCTGTGTAGCGATGTCAGCCCGCTTTGGCAATGCCCCCCCACCCCCAAAATGTGGTACCCCCCCCTCCCCACCCCGCAGGAGCACTGAAGTGGGTGCAGCCCCTCGGAGCACAGCCGGGGGGTCGCAGCGAGGATTTGCCCAGCATGAAGCATTCACACCCCCTGCAAAAAGAGCCCCTTTTCTTTGCGTTTTTTTTCCCCTCTCTAAGTCACCACATCAACGTTCTGGATGTGAAATTTGCTGACAGAGGAAAGCGGATGGAGGGGGGGGGGACGGGGGACGTGTTGGCCTCCTACTTTTCCCACTGTTGTTGCTGCTATCGGTGTGTGCGCCCTCTGCTCAGCTCTCCCACCGCTCCGTCCCGAGGGTCTCAGTTCTCATCCCACACCTCCTCCTCCTCTTCTTCTTTTCCCCTTTTCATTTCTTTTCCCCTTTTTTTCTTTTTTTGGTTGGTTCTTCTCCCTTCTTTCCTCCGGCGATTGCGTGTTGGGTCCTTTTCCGCGTGAGCCGATTGCTGGTTGACTTGTAAGGGTGTTTGCTGCATACAGTGTAAGCATTGTGACTGCAAATAAACTTCAATGGTTTCTACTGAGCCGCCTCCGGTGCTCTGGGTGGAGGGGGGGGGGNNNTCACAGATAGAACGACTCTGGGTGCAGCTGTAACAAGGTTTATTTGCTGTCCCCCCGCTGCTGCCGGGTGCTGTTGTAGATGATGCTGTTGTAGCCCTCCCTGTTGCGAGCGATCTCAATGGCAAAGAACTGAATCCTGGTGGCTGGGAGAGGGGAGGGAAGCGTCAGTGAGGGGCAACGGGACCCCAGTTCAGGGGTAAAGGGGAAGGGGGGGGGATACGGGTACCCAACTGAGCCCATGGATAAAGGGTGAGGGGCGCTGGTAGCCAACTGGGCGCTTGGATAAAGGATGGGGGACGATGGCACCAAACTGATCGCATGGGTAAAGGATGAAAGGCAACCCAGGATAATGATGGGGGATTCTGGAACCCAACTGGGCCCATGGACAAAGGATGGGGGGCACTGGTACCCAACTGAGCCCATGGATAAAGGATGGGAGGCACTGGTACCCAACTGGGCCCATGGACAAAGGATGGGGGGCACTGGTACCCAACTGAGCCCAATGGATA